GGAAAGGCAAAGCGCTTTTTGCCTTTCCCTTCCCGGCTGGGGCTGTTGGGAGTCGCTGCCGCCGGAGCGGCCCCAGTCCCGCGTCGCCTCGGGAAGGGAAAGGCCACGGCTTGGAAGGCCGCCGCTGGAGCGAAGCTGCGCGCAGCGGCTGCGCTAGCATCGGATCGGGCGCGCCGGACAGTTCCGACCGAGCCCCAAGCGTCGTCTTTGGCGCCCGCCCAGCGCCGCGGAGCTCCCTGTACCGGGAGAAGGGGAAGACCCCCCCCGGGGCGAGGCAGGGAGAGGAGTTTCTCCCATCCGCCCCTCTTTCCGCGCCCACCGGTGTCCCCGCAGGATGACCCCTGCCCCGCAGTCGCCGCCGCTTGAAAGAGATGGGCCGGGGGTGGGTAGAAAGGCGCCGGGCGCCCTTGGGGAGAAGGTCCCGCGTTCGCCTGTCTGCCCGCGGATGTCAGTGGAGCTTTGCCGCTGCTTCGTCCGGGGTCTCTGGGCAAACACATCCACCCGAGCGGGGCTTGTCGCCTCCTGCACGCAACGAGCGCTGCCCTCGGATTCCCTGTCCGGTTGCCCCCCTTTTGAGGGCGATGGCAGTAAACTGTTCCCGTAGCAGCGGCTGCTCCGCTGACATCTGCGGGCAGACAGGCGAACGCGGGACCTTCTCCTCCAAGGGCGCCCGGCGCCTTTCTACCCACCCCCGGCCCGTCTCTTTCAAGCGGCGGCGACTGCGGGGCGGGGGTCGTCCTGCAGGGACACCGGTGGGCGCGGAAAGAGGGGCGGGCGGGAGAAGCTCCTCTCCCTGCCCCGCCCCGGGGGGGGGTCTTCCCCTTCTCCCGGTACAGGGAGCTCCGCGGCGCTGGGCGGCCGCCAAAGACGACGCTCAGGGCTCGGTCGGAACCGTCCGGCGCGCCCGATCCGATGCTAGCGCAGCGGCTGCGCGCAGCTTCGCTCCAGCGGCGGCCTTCCAAGCCGTGGCCTTTCCCTTCCCGAGGCGACGCGGGACTGGGGCCGCGCCGATGGCAGCGACTCCCAACAGCCCCAGCCGGGAAGGGAAAGGCAGGCGGTGGCGACTCCCAACAGCCCCAGCTGGGAAGGGAAAGGCAGGCGGCGGCGACTCCAAACAGCCCCAGCCGGGAAGGGAAAGGCAGGCGGCGGCGACTCCCAACAGCCCCAGCCGGGAAGGGAAAGGCAGGCGGCAGCGACTCCCAACAGCCCCAGCCGGGAAGGGAAAGGCAAAAAGTGCTTTGCCTTTCCCTTCCCGAGGCGACGTGAGATAGTGAGATCGTTTCCCAAATTAATTATTTTTATTTTTGAAATTTACCAGTAGCTGCTGCATTTCCCACCCTCGGCTTATACTCGAGTCAATAAGTTTTCCCAGTTTTTTTGTGTAAAATTAGGTGCCTCGGCTTATATTCGGGTCGACATACTCGAGTATATACGGTATATTCATTTCTTTAAAATGATAAGTATTCCCATTGTGGAAACTAAGCACAAATACATGAATAGATAGGAGAAGGAGATTATGCCTTAGAAATATTCTTTTCTCTTTTTTTATTACCAATGTTAACCTATTCATTTCTGCACATTCAAATATTTTCTCAATTACTTCTCCCTCTATCGGTATTTTATCGCTTTTCCAGTTCTGAGCAAATACAATTCTAGCTGCTGTTAATACATGAATAATTAATACATGTATAATATTATATGGTATGGGATTTATTTTATCAATGGTTGGAAAATAAAATAAATTAAAATGGATTAGATGAATATATAAAGCAATAAGATAAGATTGTTAAAAAATAATAGATATATTAAATAATAGTTACAGTATCTCACAGAAATGAGTACACCCTCTCACATTTTATAAATATTTAAGTATATCTTTTCATGTGACAACAATGAAGAAATGACACTTGGCTACAATGTAAAGTAGTGAGTATACAGCTTGTTTAACAGTATAAATGTGCTGTCCCCTCAAAATAATGCAACACACAGCCATTAATGTCTAAACTGCTGGCAGCAAAAGTGAGCACTGACAGGCTGACCCTCCACCCCTTCAACCTCTGCAGCAATGCTGGCAGCACTCATACATCTATTTCCCAATGCCAAACTCTGGATATGTCCACTGAGCACTTCTTTGGTTCATGGCGAGGCCTGTTCTGTGTGGAACCTGTCCTGTTAAACTGCTGTATCGTCTTGGCCACCATGCTACAGCTCAGTTTTAGGGTCTTGGCAATCTTCTTAAAGCCTAGGCCATCTTGATGTAGAGCAACAATTCGTTTTTTCAGATCCTCAGAGAGTTCATTGCCATGAGGTGCAATGTTGAACTTCCAGTGACCAGTTTGAGAGAGTGAGGGCGATAACACCTGTTCCCCCTTCACACCTGAAACCTTGTAACACTAACGAGTCACATGCCACCAGGGAGAGAAAACAGCTACTTGACATCACTTTTGTTGCCAGCAGTTTAGACATTAATGGCTGTGTGTTGCGTTATTTTGATTGGACAGCACATTTACACTGTTATACAAGCTGTATACTCACCATTTTACATTGTAGCCAAGTGTCATTTCTCCAGTGTTGTCACATAAAAAGATATACTTAAATATTTATAAAATGTGAGGGGGAGATACTATATCAGAAAATGTGATTATTGTTATATTGATAAGAAAAGTATTAATTATAATTGTAAACATAAGATAAATGTTCCCAGTCGACACACGGTTGAAATGAAATGGAATTATTGCAAAATACAGAATTTAAAAAATTATTTTAAAAAAATTCTCATGATTATGAATTTCCTCTTGTTTCCTCTGATAGTGATTCACAAAAGTGTTTGTGATGTATGTGCCAGTGATGGGATTCAGCCAGTTCACATTGGTATGGGAGAACCGTTTGTTAACTTTCTGAGCAGTTCAAGGAACCGGTTGTTGGAAGAAATCTTCTTCTCACTTTACAGGGCTAATCCTGTCAGGAAAGCATGCCTCTGTGTTGTTTCCAGCCTAATCCTTATCTTTATTGCACTGCTTAAGTATTTCCAGAAACTGTCTCTCCTACATTGTAACAGCTAGTGGTTCTTGGCAGTACACCCAGTCTGGCAGGAACCTCCAGAGCTTCTCTGGAGGCTTTTGTGTGTGTGTGTGTGTGTGTGTGTGTGTGTGTGTGTGCGCGCTGATATTTTGTTAGGGGCTTGACTTTTTAAAAAGCTTTTTACATTGCTTGGAGTGTACTTTTGGGATGTACTTCCAAGAGGCAGGATGCAAGCTTGGCACTCTGATTTTTTTTACTGCCTTTCTGGGGGCATGTGATCTTTCCTTAAATCTGGTTGCTTTCCTTAGCATAACTTGTGAGCTGAGTGAGACCAGCTGGTATCTTCTAAGTGGTGCAAATGGATCCAAGTATTGCTTCTCGTGGGTGTGAAAGGGTGCTTTGTCATGTTGGGAGGAAATACTCCTCTACTGGGATTTTTCCAGCCAGGATGCAATGATCAGTGCTTTGAAGAAATAATTGAATAATGCCAGAAAGAAGTTTTTAATAACAAGGAACCAAGATGAGTGACATTCAGCAAGGTTTCTTGGCTAGCTAGAAAGATTGACATTCATCCATTTTTGGTAATGTTTAATCCTGTGTTTATTGATGAGATAATTTTCCCTATTCAGCTTTGTTTGGAAGGAAAAAGGTTAATCTCTGTTCCTGAAAAGAAGCAGGGTTGAGAAATCTGGCTAGTTCCTGTGTCTATTTGTTCTGGTAATTGATTTAACAAGGGCAGCTGCTGTAAGCTCTGGCAATGAGCCACACAGGGTTTTTTTCCCCCTTCCCTTGTGTTTTAGTTAAAAAGGATTTAAATAGTTTGTGATTTAATTATTTGTATTGTGTTTTGATTATTTTCTGCCTCATGTCTTCTTCCTCTATCTGGGGAGGGGGCCTCCCTTCAGTCAGTTCACAGAGCCACAGGAGTCTCTTTTTCTATGGGGTTTCTTCAGTTGTCCAGGTCATGGTTGTCCCAAATATACTTTTTTCAAGAGTGTTGGAAGAAATATCCATCTGGTTCAGAGAAAGCCATTGGAAAGATGGTTTATTGGTGAACAGGACTACATGGGTTTGAGGTCCTGGGCAGCTGACCAATTGGTTTGATGAATACATGGATTTTTATACAGCTTGTTCTACAGCATTTTGTAATTTAGAGGCTTGTTTTCTGTATTTTGTTATTTGATTTTAACTAGTTCATCTCCCAAAGGCTGGCAGTGAGTTGGGGTTTTTAATCTTGTTTAACAAATGTAATTAATCCTAGATGCTGGCTTCCTTGGGGTTTTAATCCAGTCTTGAATGGATTACCAAATCTGCATTTTTAAAAGGTGACCTCCTCAGTTTCTTTGGGGCTATTAAGAAAGATTGAGTCTGTTTCCTGCCTTTTAAGAGCATGTTTCTCTATTTCTCATATAATTTTCTACCCTTTTAATATTTCTCAAAATATTTCATTCTTGTGGGGGGGGGGGTGCTAATTTTCTACAAGAGGCAACTAGACATTCTTGGTTTCCAGAAAGCCCAGTTGCTTCTTGAAAAAGCACGTTTGGAACAGGAATCTCTTGCATTGCTTTAGAGTGGCCAAGCTTGGGAGACTTGAACCTGTGTCCCTTGTATACTTCGTTAATTTGTCTTTTTAGCTCAGCATTTTGTAGCTCAAATATGCACACCCTCTTTCTGGAGAGCTTAAAAGACCTCTCTGCTAAAGTTTTCACTTTATGAGCAAGAGTTTTTTGCTGATAGTTATCCTTGCATTTTAACTATTTTAATTCCTCAAGGTGCTCTGGCACCCTGCCTGATTTGTAACTCCAGGTTACAGGTATTGCTGAATGGTTTAGGTCCATGATGGCTGTGGCTATCATTGATCTTCAGTGTGTATTCTTACATTTCTAATCCAATGATTGGTATTTAGAGCAGCTTTTTGCAAGCAAAGAAGCGTTTTGTATTTTTGTACAGATAATCATTGACTTATAACAGTTCATTTAGTGACCATTCAAAGTTACAATAGCACTGAAAAAAGTGACTTATGAGCATTTTCACACTTGCAGCATCCCTACGATCACAAGAGGCTGGGCAAGGCAAAGTGCCCTTTGACATTAGTGACATCAAGTTGGCCATGCCAACTCAGTCACATGACCACCCAGCCACGCCTACCCAGCTGGACATTAGGGCAGAGAACCTGTTGTTAAATTATTTGAATCCCACCACTGGTATGTGCCTATATGTGTTCTAGCAGAAATTGTGTATGTGTGTGTGTGTTCTAGGAGAAATCTGTTTTAAAGTTAATTTGCAGTAATAGATAAAGATCATTGTAGACAATTTATTTAAATATTCTATTGCATTCTTTATCTTAAAAATAATTTTAGTCACTAACAATGTAAAAGATACCATACATGAAAAACATCATGGGAAGTAAAAAAAAACAGAAGAAGGGGGTGAGGGGAGAACCAAGCTAAACCATTGTGTTCTGTAGCCTTTTGGGAAGATTGCTACAATTGAAAATGGTCTTGCTTGGCCATTTATAGTTTCATTAATATAAAATGCATATTCCTTTTTAACAGGCAATTAGCAAAATTTTGGAAATGAACAAACAAGAAGCCATGAAAGAGTTAGGTATGAATTTAAAGACATTATCATTATTATGACTTAATATTGTTTTCATTATTATTAATGAAACTTTAATTTCCATAGTGTTGATTCTTACAAAGCCGAAATAGCATTTTCTATGCGCACGAAAGAGCTACTCAAAGCAAGGACAATCAGAAAGACAGTAGTAAGCTCCATGGTTTCCTCTGCATTTACTCTGGCTTCAATAACTATATCCTGCTCAGCCCCATATGAAACTGCACATTAACTACAGGTAGTTCTCAAATTACAAATACAGTTGAGCCCAACATTTCTCTTGTTAAGCAATACAGTTGTTAAGTAAGTTTTGCCCCATTTTATGACTTTTCTTGCCAAAGTTACTCTGTGAATCACTGCAGTTGTTAAGTTAGAATACAGTTGTTAAGTGAATCTGGCTTCCCCATTGACTGTTTGTCAGAAGGTTGCAAAAGGTGATCACACAGATCCAGGACACTGCAACTGTCATAAATACGAGCCAGTTGTCAAGAGGCCAAATTTTGATTACATAACCATGGGGATGCTGCAACAGTTGTGTGAAAAACACAACTTGTCTTAAGTCACACTTTTCAATGCCATTGTAATTTCGAATGACTAAATGAATAGTTGTAAGTTGAGGATTACCTGTATAAAAACATTGCAATGCTTCAAGTTGTTATCTGTGCAGTCACATAACTTAGCTTTCCTGTTCAGGGATTGTTTAGTTGTAAGAGTACTGAATGAGGGGTAATTACAAACAGTCCTTGAAGTTCTGGCTGTTGCAACACCCCTGGGTCATGTGAACTCAGCTTAGGTGCTTAGCTTGGGAACAAGTTCACACTTACAAAGGTTGCAGTGTCCCACAGTCATGTGATTGCCATTTGTGTTCTACCCTGCTGACTTCCCACAAGAAAAGTCAATAGGGAAGCCAGCAGGGAAGGTGGCAAATCACTCTGTAATTGTCCTCCCTATGACCTGTGTCTTTCTTTTTTGGGGTCTCCCTATGCTTGCATGAATGTACCTGCAGCACCCCCTCCTCCAACTTATTTGTGACCTGCTCCCTCATCTCCCTCCAGAACCATGTGTTCCTTTCCTTGATACTTTCTGCTTAATGAACTCTGTGTCTTGGAATTACAACAGCAATCAGGACTACCTGGATTGCCATTATTAATGCAATGTTCATTTGCATTTTTAGTAGCTCCTAAAAGAAAGAAAAAGGGAATGGAAAGAAAGTTTATCTGCATGACCAAAGCAGTCCTCAGTGTCTTAAATTCCATAGTCTTTCTTAGCATACTGGATGAGTGCATAAATCACAATTTATTTCAGGATGCCTAAATATCTATTTCAGAGAATTTCCGCAGCTGATACATTGTAAAAGAACCTGAAATACATTCAATTAAATAGCCCTGATTAATATTTACAGTTAATTCTTATTAACGTTTTACATAACTGAAATACTATTTTGGATGGCAAATACTTCTTAACTATTAAAGCCACAATAAGATTGCTCTAATTATTTAATCACATCAGCAATATTAAAAAGGGGGGAGCTACTGTAAATAAGAAACAAAATATAATGAAATAGTGTAGGATAAAAAAATCTTATGTATATATAAGGACACATTATACTTTCTTATCTTGTTTTTTATTTATTTTTTATTTTTCACCTATTTTTTACATATTTGTGGAGTTTTTTGATAATGCACATTTTTTTGTTTTTTGTTTTTCTGGTTTTTTTTAAAGCAATACAAAGTTTTATTTAAAAAAACACCCAGGGGCTAAATTATGCTGATGTTTAGAGTGGGTAATCGCTGCCCTTAAATCTCATTTTCTACTAGTTTTCAGTTGTAAAAAATTATTGCTTTCTCTATGCAGAAACACTTTTTTTCTTTAACTGTGAGTAGAGACAGTGCATTAATAGAGAAGATTTATGCAAGTAGTTCTCAACTTACACCCACAATCAAGCCCCAAATTTCTGTTGCTAAGTGAAACATTCATTATGTGAGTTTTGCCCCATTTTAGAACTTTTCTTTCCAAAGTTGTTAAGAGAATCACAGCAGTTGTTAAGTTAGTACCAGTAACACAATTAAGTGAATCTGGCTCCCCCGTTGACTTTGCTGGATAGAAGGTCGCAAAAAGGGATCACATAATCCCGGGATACTGCAACCATCATAAATACAAACCAGTTGCCAGGCATCTGAATTTTGATCACATGACCATGAGGATGTTGCAATGGTCATAAGTAACTTTTTTCAGTGCCGTTGTAACTTTGAACAATCACTAAATGAACTGTTGTAAGTCGAAGTTTACCTATATAAAGAAGCACTTCAACTTTCCTGTATATGCAAAGCAATATAAAATAGATGTATTTTTATCTATGGATACCACTTTTGGCAGCTGTAGTATCTGGAAACTTCATAAGTATACTTGGATTTACTGTGCAGACATATCCAATGATAATGAAATGTTCAGCGCAAGAAAAAAGTGGATTTTTTAAATTGCATGTTTTTATCTAAAGGAGAACATCCTTCTTCCTAAGACTTTTGTTTCATACAAGAGATATTGACAGTGATCCAAATAAATTATTTGATTACTTCTAATTACTTATATTTCTCTTTTCAGGCTGAAACTACTTTTATTTTTTTTAAAAATAGTACTTGTTTATATATTTATTTCTGAGGAGCACAGAGAGAGTTCACTTTGCTTTTCCAGTCTAGTCTGAGAGGGCTGCAAATTTGATGTCAATAGGAGAAATAGTACCTCAGAAATTATTAAATGGTTTCTTGGATACTGAAAAAAAATTTTTTTTACTTGGGAACAAACAGCCTCTGGGTTGCTTGTTATTATAAAAGTAATCTTTATTACTTAGAGAAAAAAACAAAGGAACAAAATACAAAAATGAAAATACTTGTCTTTCATTTAAAGTCATGTTAAAGTCAATAGGACTAGAAAAAACTGTTGATTTTTTTTCTTTTCCTTTCAGTTGGTTTTTATTTTTTAATCCAACGAGGACCTCCTGCAAAGAACTTTCAGTTTTGGAAAAAAGAATACTTTATATTTTTGTTCTCTGTCTTTCAGTATAATTTAATGAGTTTTGCTGTATTAACATATTTGCAATCTTGCACATCATGTGAATGGAATTCTGCACTTATTCAGAACCTTGTTCAAGAATGGTCTAGAACTAAGATTTTTTTATAGGCATGATTTCTCATATCCATTTGTGCATATCTCCATACCTGCAGTTCCTACTAGTTCTTGGGGAGGGGGCATTTACTCCTAAGCAGTTTTCTTTCACTTTGAATGGCATTTATAATTTATTGTATTAAATTTTTTTTTGTTTACTTTAGGATTAATGCAGCGTGACTATCCAGATATTGTCATTGCTGTGAAAACCAGACAAGCAGTTCAGACGGTACTAAATACAGCTTTTGAAACTCTTAAATTTATGATAGCAGGAGGAATCGTGGATAAGAATGAAGGAAATGAATTACATAAGGTAATTCAAACAAAATTATATATGAAACATGAGATATTTCTGTTAATACAGAAAAATTCAAATTATATATACAAATTTTGGATATGGGGATTTCCAATGTTAAAAATGGAAAGTTGGAGATAAAAGTAAACAAAATTTTCATTAACCTCATATGAATAAATTTTCATTGAAAGAATTTTGAGAACATTAAATGGCTGCATATTTACTTTTCACATAGATTTCTGCCAAAAAAATTTGGGCAACTATCATTTGCTCCTACTGTTATCTGGAATCTGAGCTCAAGTGCTGAGCTTCTTTGTGACCTAAAAATTTCTTCAAGATATTTCTCCACCTTTCTTTGAGATGTGCCTAATTATAGCCTGTAACCACTGCTTCTGCTTCCTATTTTAATATTATTTTTATAAAAGATTTTAATTGTGCACTCTCAAGAGATTTGCTATTACATAATGAATACTATGATATAATGGTATCCCATCATCAAATTTTGTTGTATGAAGAAGAAGCTGGGTGTTAATTAAACTTCCCAGTTGTTCCAGCCCTGATGGATCAGATAACAGACCTGAAAACACTTCAATGAGATAAACTCTAGAAATCTTAAGCATTGCATTGGGATCATTAAGATTTCTAGGTACAGTATGGTGAATTGGACTGAGTAGGCATTTTTTCCTCTATTTTTTGTTTCTTTTTTCCCATTTTATTTTTATTAAATATATAAAGTAACATAAAAACAAATGAAAGTTAAACTCAGAAAAAAAGAGAGAAAGAGAAAGAAAAAAGTGCCAAAAAAGAAACACATAATAATGGAAAATATAGAAAAGCTGAACTGAATTAAAAGAAAAAAATATGTAAAGAAGTGACTAACAGTCTTCATCAGAACAAGTAAAAACAAATCTGATAACTCATCATCCCCTATAAAGTTACAAGCAAATTTCTTCTTAACCCATCCTTTCCTGTATGCAAACTATAAATCATCAACTTTTCAATCCTGATATCAGCAAAAAGTTTGTACAGAATTACTAACGCTGTATAAAACATGTCTGATTTTAACCTTGATCAAACAAATCAATTTTATATTCCTTTTATTTCTAACAATCTTAATCTTTAATTCATTAGATGTTATCTTTTTCCTATCACAAAGGCTTCTTTGGAGCTTTAATAGACCTCTTTTGTGAGTCCAGTGGAAAATCATTGTCAGGTTATTGTCTTGGTTTTCCCTTTTGATTTTCAATGTTTAGCCAATTTCTTTTTTGTATCCAATAAAGGTGTTTCAGGGTTGCTCTTTTGGCTCTTCTTTATTTTTTAATCCATTTTCCTGTCATTTGTATATTTATTTGGAATGCCTTGTCTGCTTTGTAGTCCACATTTTTAATCCAATTTTTCTTGATTCTACTATTTCTGCATCAAGCAAAATTTGTTTCAGATCTGTCATTCCCTCTATCCCAGAGCAGTAACTATATTGAATTCTACTGTATAGAGCAATATTAATGCAATATCAGAGTTTTTCAATTCAGTTGTATAGAATGTGAAGGATGTGTGTTTGTATTGTATTTTTATAGTTATAATGTGCACTGAAGATGGCATTTAATTTCATTGTAAAAGGTGCAATGACAATAAACTAAACTAAACTAACATCTTTTAAACATAGCCTACCTGTAGAAGCAGACAACATTGCTGATATTATGGCTACTATTTTAATATCTCCTTTAATATTTTAAATGTTATAGTATTTTGTGACTTCTGTATATCCCAATCCTAAAGTCAGGTTTTTTTTGCTTGGACTATAATCTCCTGTAGTGTCTAATTTAATTCATAAGGTCTCTATTATAATTTCTGGTAGTCATAATAATTCTGATTCACATGAAAATCTATTTATTTTATGTAGCTTTCTAAAATCTTATAGAAAAATTTCAATATTCCAAATTGCCCTGGACCCTTTATTTGTTATTTTCTTAGTTTCAAATCTTATTTAGATGTTTGCCACGTATTTCAAATGTTAAACTTAGTTAATTTGTTGTGGTCCAGAAATATTCACTTACTGAGTGACCTGTCAGACTTGTCATTCCCAAAATGTCCAATAGTCCTAAAACATTTACCTAAGAGATTTTACAAGGATTGGAAATGAATTTAGCCAATTTAGTGTCCTTTAAAAAGCACTGCCATAGATGTGATCTTGATGAATAATTGTCTCCCAGCATTTCATCTAATACTTGTCCAGAGAGGTTCCGCGTGACCATTCTACTTGTGTTTCTTTGCTCTTTGTCTAGGTTGTTGTTTTGACTCTTCACCAGAGACATTTTTAAGCTTACCATGCTTCACAGTGTGTGCGTGTGCATTATTTTGCATTATTTTGTTTGAGGCAATGCTTCCATTCGTTTGCAATATTCTGTCATGTTTGAAAAAATTATAATGCACAACTAAAATAATAAAAGTTCACTGTGGGATTTTTCAGCTATTTTTTATAATATTGACTATAGATTAGGATTAGGGTCATGATACAACAGCTGGAATTTAGAAACACTATTTTATGCTGTTTCCATTCCTTCCTGAGGAAAATTAATTGGGAGGGTGAGTAGTCAAGCTTTTGGCCTTTTTTATATGGGGTGCTTCAGTTTAGTTCTCTCTCCATTTTATTTAACATCTAGGTAAACTGGTAGAAAAAAATTCATTGGTTTAGATTGATATATCATCATACTGAAGTTGCCCAGTTATACATCTCCCTTGGACCCAAATGATAGATGCCTGAGGATTTAAGGCTCTAGATCAGGGGTGTCAAACTCAATTTCATTGCAGGCTGCATTAGGGTTATGTTTGACCTCGGGGGGGGGGGGGTGGGGGAGGGGCGCAACCATGATGGACATGGCCAGCTCGATGTCATTCATGTCAGGGATGCCTGTGGTGGCCCAAGACTGGCCCTCCCATGCTCCATTTTCACAGGCAGAGGCACTGCAGGCCAGTCCTTTGCTGTTCCCAGGGCAGCCCCGTGGGCCAGATCTAAGCACCTTCATTTGAAGGGAGGTGTCATACACTCCCCAAAACAGCAGATCTGCAACTTAGGAATGCTCTTTAATTTGGCTAGACTTATAGGCGGGAGCAGATCTCACGTGGGGGGGTGGGGGTGGGGCAAAAAAAATGTTCCAAAGGGCAAGAGCCATGGCAGAAGAGGCTCTTCTCCTGAACCCTGCTCACCAGAATTCCTTGACTGACAGGACCAGCAGCATGCCTATTCTGTTGACATAGGTGGGATGACCTAGTCCCACTGGGGTGAGACAATTCCTCAAACACTGTAAGTTTTCTTGATGGACATATATTATTGACAGTTCTGCCCTAATGTCAACTTCTTTTGCTTTATTCCAAAATTAGTTTTCAATAGTAAATTGAACCTACTTGTAGATCTATTTTTGTTAAACCTATCTATGGACTGGCAGTCTTTGGTGCATAATGGGTTTTGGCCTACTGTCTTGGATTGTATTGATCTAGAGTGACACTTTCTAGTTAGCTTAATTTTTTTCTGGGTGGATTGTACATATAGTTTGCTTCTGCTGTCAGTTAGCAGATAAGCCTTTTCCAATTTGTATCGAACTGGCTTCAGCTATGGCTTCCTCCATATAATGCATTTCTAATTCCTTTACTGTATCAGTTATTGGAATTGAGGGTATAGGAGGAGCTAAACCCAAGGTTATCTACAGTGGGGGCATACTTCTATTCAAAACTTCGTAGTTTTGGAAAGATTCAACAAATATACTTGATCATCATAAATACATACTCTCAGACAATGACTGTTAAAGGTTAACAATGTATCTCACCTTAGTTCTCACTAGTGTTTTTTGAGAGTAGTATAAAATATGTTCGAAATAAAAAACAGCAGCTGAGGATTTTTTTTGAAATTTTTGAAACTATATGATCAGCACATTGTGAAAAAAGATCTCTGCATTAATCAGAAAAGTATACTATGTCCTTTAGAGCCGTTTTACTTCCTTAGAATTATATCATTCAAGATGTCTTAGATTTAAGAATGTAGAAATCATTTCATAGTGGTTGTTAATAATATGAATTGAAAGAACTATGTATTATAACAATAGTCTTCTTTTTTAGGTGATTCTTTTAAGAAAACAACAGCTTGGAAGACTTCCCCCTACAATTGACCCACCTACTGCACATGACCTTCTATGCAATATTGTGTGGCTTCAGGGTAATAAAAAACAGATAGAATACATTCAGGTACTGATGCTTTGGATGCTTCACACAGGTAATATCTGGCCCAATGCGTATCAGTGGTCACACATTAGATCTAATCTTCACCTCCAATCAGTAGAGGATGCCAAAATGGAAGAAATGACCGTCCATTTGCATGTTCCTTTGCATGGTCAGACTCTCCCTTGTTCACTTGAGGTTTGTCTGTTACTTCCTGCTTAGATTACTACAGTGCACCCTATACGAGGCTGCTTTTGAAAACTACTTGGAAGATGTGGTTAGTCCAAAATCCAGCATCCTGCTTGTGAAAGCCACTTTCTCCAGAGCACACAACTCCAGTGCTTTGGGCTTTCTATCTGATCTTTCAAGCCTTATGAAACTTGACTCTTAAAGGACCATCTATATCAATTAGATCCAACCTACCCAGTACACATATCTCTGGTTTGCTGAGGGTTCGTTTCTTCTCTAACATCTAGAGCAGGGGTATCAAACTGACAGCCCGCAGGCCAGATCACGGGCAGGCCACACCCACCCCAGCTCCGCACAGGGAAAACCGTCATGATATGTCTTGTGACAGCAATGTAATGCCATGAGTTTGACACCTTAGGGGACACCAATATCATCCTATTCTTAGCATTAAGACCAACCCTATGGAATAGCTTCTCTACTGATATTTGGATGGTTGCATTGATCCTGATCATTAGAAATATCTTAAAAACTGAGCTGTTCAGAAAGGCTTTTACTTAACTGTGTCATTAGAATGCATGTTACAATCATTTTAATGATGGTACTTAAAGAGATGCATTGGTGGTGAAGTAATGCCGGAATGCATAAGAAGAGCTTTCTATTTGATATACAAATAGATTCCCAGGAATGTAATATATGTTGCTATTAATGAGTTATGGGCATTTCCACAGCTGATCCCCATTCATTGCTTTTTGGGTCTTGTCATATCTATCTACTCATGATGAGTTGATAATGGCAGATTCAGCAGAAGAGCTTTAGACAACCAATTTTATCTACAACAATATTGTTGGAAATGATGAATATTGTTTTCATGCCTTCTGAATTCAGGTTTCTCATTACAGCGGGTGGACTTTCATAAGAGGAATATTATGTGTGCTCTATGAATCCTTGAATAAAGAGAACTTGATGTCCCTTTAGGGCTAGAACTAGCAAGGTGACTAAGCCAACTGTGGGAGTAAAGCTGGGGATAAACAGTATATTTTAAAAGAACACAACTACAGTTGATGAACTGGTGGAATCTAATCCTTCAAGGAACAGCAAGAGGCAACTGAGGCTGCTTGGGCAAAGATGCAGTCTTTTGGCAGCACAGCTGGAGGACAGTTGGAGAAGAGCTATAATCTGCAGACTGTCTGCCCTTGTTTTTGGTTTCAACTCATTCTTTTCTGAGGGTCCCATGTCACAAACCAAGTATGAGGGCTGACAGAATGACTTATGACCATCTCTTCACTATTTCTTTGGATTAGACTAAAATCAATGCTTTGAACTTCAGATTACATTATCTAAGCCGCTCTTTCTCTCAGACACACTGCTTCTCTTGGCTTTCCCTCTGTGATAGGCCTGCCATCTAAATTTGCTAGAGTTCATTAAGCAGTGGTAGCCAAATAAGCTTAAATAGCAAACCACACCCAATCAATTCTGGCAGTATAATGAGGAATTATAACAACTAAACCAGATACTTCCATTATAGTTGAATCAGCTCAGAACTTTGGTGATTGTCTCACAGGCTTAGTCAATAACAAGCTGCTCATTTTATTGCAAAATTCTGATTGGTGTTCCACAAAAAATCATGGTGAGAAATAACACTGCTATCTTCCTAGCTCAGAATTAGTCACATGCAACTAAAATAAATTTCCTTCTGATCAAGCAAACTAGTACAGGTAGTCATCATTTAATGGCTGTCTTGGACAGGGACCATTTGAAGTTATAATAATGATGAACAATAATTTTGCAACCCACACCTGCATTTATAACTTTTGCAGTGCCTCTCTTTCAAGACATGTGTTTGCCATTATAGTCAGTACCTGTTGTCTTGTGCCTGACCTATTTTTCTCTCTTCACCCTCCGACAGTGGATTGTCTAAACAAATTATCTTTTCCTGAGCTGTTTTTCTCCCCAGCCTAGCACTACCCCAAAAATGCTAATTGCAAGTTAACAAGCTCAGCTCTATGACCTTAATTAGTTGATTAGAACCTTCTGGATGGGATGTAGCTGCAATCTGAAATTGACAAGACTCTAGTCAGTTTCACAGTAAAGCCTTTTTGCTAACAACTTGCAGTGTAGTTGTCAGTCTGTGCTCCCTTCAAATCCCAAGAAAGAAATACTCAGACTCCATGGTTAGAGCAAAGTTATCCTTTTACTGGAAAATAAAGTGAAAGCTACAGATTCAATTCCGAAACTGAGAAATTGGCGGGCAGATCACATATACAAAGGAATGGAAATGCTCCCACCCCCCAAAGTCCAAATGACTCTTCCAATTAAAAGTTCTGAATATGATCATGTGGCCATCTCCAGGTGGTGATGAGGCTTCTGTCAGTTGACCTTGACATATTTTGATAAAAGTTCGCAGTTGCGCAAAAGGGGACAGAAGCTAGCCAAGAAATGGAAAGTTAAAGAAAGGAATCCGCCCCCCTTGCTAACCCAGCAAAGGAATGCAAAACACCTCCAGCCTTCTTCCCCTCCAAATTCCCCCCTCCCTCCGTTGCTAATGACAGCCGAAAGAAATAGATTGGCATAGCAGCAGAGAAGCAATAGTTAGAATGCAGAATATACATATTATGGAAGATATCTTGAGGCTGACATTCGGACCCCCTAGAAGAAGGACATTAGTCCCTGTAAGAAAAAATAGCATAAACATATGTTAGCATTTGCATACATCTCTATGGTTTATCAGGGTATTTGGCATAAAAGTTCTTGAGCAGTTCAGGAGCCCTAATGTCTCTCTCATTAACCCATTCAGCATAGGATGGAGGAAAATGCTTCTAAGCTACAAGATATTGGATACGACCCCTCCATTTCCTAGAGTCTAGAATTTCTTTAATCTCGAAATGTTGTTCACCCTCAATCAACAATGGTACGGGGGGATCAGTCTGGGTCGGTCTCAAGGTACAGGTATGTTCGGGTTTTAACAAACTGACGTGGAAAACCGGATGAATACGACGAAGAGTCTTTGGTAAAGTCAACTGAACAGTCACAGGATTTACAATCCGCTCAATGGGAAAAGGCCCCACATACTTAGGACCCAACTTCTTCGATTTCTGGGTAGTCTGCAAATATTTAGTCGAGAGGAATACTTTGTCGCCCACTTGATACGACATCTGCGGGGCTCACTTTCTGTCAGCAAATTTCTTATGAGACTGGTGCGCCTCGTCCAAAGCTTTACGAGCTACCGGCCCCTTGCTAACCCAGCAAAGGAATGCAAAACACCTCCAGCCTTCTTCTCCTCCAAATTCCCCCCTCCCTCCGTTGCTAATGACAGCCGAAAGAAATAGATTGGCATAGCAGCAGAGAAGCAATAGTTAGAATGCAGAATATACATATTATGGAAGATATCTTGAGGCTGACAGTAGTATGCTAGGCAGATGGTGCCAGTGCATTCCCCATTGTGTGCCTGCTTGCTCTTATACAGATAATCCTTGTTTAGTGACTATAGTTATGCAGTTATGATAGTGATGAAGAAGTAACTTTGCAACCAGTCCTTGCATTTGCAACTTCACAGATCTGTAAAGCAAAAGAAAGCTGAATTAAGATTGCAAGCATAGTCATGGGTTCACATAGTGATTGCTTTGCTTAATGAGCAATAGCATTAAGTCTTATATACTGCCCCATAACACTTTACAGCACTCTCTGGACAATTTCTAATGTCGAAGCATTATTTGCATATTACCCCCAACAATCTGGGTCCTCATTTTACAGACCTTGAAAGGATGGAAGGCTGAGTCAACTTTGAGCCTTATCAGGATCAAACTCCAGGCTGTAGGCAATATTTGCCTGCAATATTGCACTTTAACCACTGCGCCATCAGGACCAAGTTGCTGGATCCAGTTGTGATCACTAAACAAGGAATATCTATAATCCTTTCTCCAATGAATGTAAATACAAACACTTGCTAATTATCTCAGTTTCCGGATGACCCTTGCCAAATTAGGAAAAAAGCTAAATCCAGTCGTCACAGTACTTGTTACCATCCAGTTGCCTCCTCAGAGACACATCTGGGCTGCAGGCCACAAGTTTGACACCCCTGGTCTGTAGAATTCAAATCTGTATGTGAAACCCATTGCAGGGAACTCATCATATTCTGATGTAGGGATTGGTCTTTTCACTCATACATTTTTTATACCACCAAGATTAGGTATATCCAGTTCCATCAAGAAAGAGCTTTTTGCATCTCTGTTATGACAGCCTGTAGGACATTTTGGACAATTGAAGATTTGATTTTTCATAAGGTCTGGATTGTAGCCTTCTAACAGTGCTGTGTTACTCTGTTAGTTCTCCATAGGACTATTAGAATGGGGTTTTTTGCCCCTTGAGAATTTGATTGTAGTAATTTTAGTGCATACCTTGGCATCAGCAATTTTCTTTTGTTTGCTTGCTTTTTGTTTTGTTTTTCCTCAGTTTTCTGTTCTTCCAGTGAATTAGTAATTGCAAACCCTCTAAAAGGTTAAATATCAACAAGACCATGCCAAGGACCATTATGGATGCTTTGTAGATCACCATTGACAACTGAGTTATGGTCTTTGTTTGAAATAAGTTTTTACCCATTTAACATTCATCTTAAAAAACTTGATACCTGTTATATATGAGCTTTTTCTCCATTGTTGTGCAAGATGGTCAAGTGGTTTTCACCTTCAAATCCCAGGCCACTCTTACATTCATCTGATATTCCATTCGATGTTTGGGACCAAAATCTGGAGCTCATCTTTTGCCTAACAAAAATCCCCAGTATTTTGTACTCAAATTTATTGTCGATATCTTCTGAATGGGAAATTTGAAATAATTACATAATTTAAATATCTTAATATATTTTACTGATGTAAATTTTATTTATCATTGATTTTTGTCCTCTAATTTTAAAATGCTTTTGTTTGTATTTGTCAGTTGCTACTCTCTTAAAATTTTCAGAGCACTAAAAATACTTTTGTTACTGGATGTCTTTGGCAGTATGCTTAGAAACTTATTTAGTCTGTATTCAATACTTATTTTTATTTTCAGAAAAAAGCAAACATTCTTTATTATGATTATGGAGATAACATATGTGAAGAAGGCGATATGCCACAAGGAATCCATTTAATTGTATCAGGCATGGTTAAGGTAAGATATTGGTATCAACAAATACCCAGGAATATAACTGGGAATGAAGAAATTAATATTACTTAGAATGTTAGTAATATTGTATACAACTTGTAACTCTCAATTGCTACTAGTCTGTAATCTAACTTAAAAACCGAATGTTTTTTTGTTGCCGGTCAAAGTTTTAGACTTTGTTCTTTATTATTGTTTGCTATAATTAAAAGTATATGTATTGCATATAAAAAAGGGGCTGGGTTTTGATCATGCACTGTAACCACCTTCTTGATTGTATTGACAAACGCCCTCTTCTGTTGTGGCCCGCCAGCGGCCTGCAGAGCTGATGGCAGACTCGGACAGTGAGGAGGTTGGGGAGGAACATGAGCCAGTCCTGGAGTCTGGGGAAAGCTCTGATGAGTGCTCTGTGTCAAAGGCAGAGATGGCTGTCTGACAGTTATCAGGAATCGGAGATCAGTGGGGCAGAAGAACAGCTGGAGCCTGTTCCCAATGCACAGAGCTGCCAGAAGGGAACATTTAAGGAACAAGGGTTGACTCGGGAGTTAAAGCACAGGTGGACGGTGAATGGCCCCTCCCAGAGAGAATAAAGAACTAAAGGGTTGCAGGAGACAATTACCGTATTTGCTGGCGTATAAGACGACTTTTTTGCCCTGAAAAACATGCCTCCAATTGGGGGGGTCGTCTTATATGCCGGGTCGTCTTATACGCCGGCAAATAGTAATTGGGAAGCACTGCGGCTGCCTGCGGCTGAGGCACTTTTGCGCACCGTGGAAACGAATCCCGTGAAGCCGAAAGGAGCAGCCAGCCTTCTCCCAGCTCCCAAGGAAAGGAGGCTCGCACCGCCCGAGCTCCGCTGAGGTATCCGGCTGGGGCTGTCAGGAGTTGTTACCGCTGGCGCGGCTCCAGTCCCGCGTTGCCTCGGGAAGGGAAAGGCAAAACCAGGAGCCGCTGCTGCCATTGCAAAGCGCCGCCGCGGCTCTTCCTTTTTGCCTTTCCCTTCCCAAGGCAACGCGGGACTGGAGCCGCGCGGAGCTGCGCTAGCGGTAACAACTCCTGACAGACCCAGCCGGATACCTCAGCGGAGCCCGGGCGGTGCAAGCCTCGTTTCCTTGGGAGCTGGGAGAAGGCTGGCTGCTCCTTTCGGCTTCACGGGATTCGTTTCCACGGTGCGCAAAAGTGCCTCAAAAAAAAAAAGTGCAAAAGTGGAAGGCGTGCGGAAGAGTGGGCGAGTATATAACAAACTATATTTTGAGTGGAAATGTTGGGGGGTCGTCTTATACGCCGGGTCGTCTTATACGCCGGCATATACGGTAGTTCGTTTAATTAGTGTAAAGATTTGTTCATGATTCTCAGAGACTCCTTGCCAAGTATTTTCTTGTACAGTGTTGCACTTGGAAGCTATCGGCGTGGCATCTTTCCAAGCCTGATAAGGTCTGTGGTTGTAATTCACCCTTGAAAGACTGTTTGCCAGAACTTTGCTGGATGTGAATGATAGGAATTCACATTAGCCAAATAAAAATGGGTTTTGTCAGGACAAGGAGTCTGTTTCGTGATTTTGTGAAGCTTACATCAGAACATCTCCCTTCACTGAATGTCCCTGTCTGCTACTAATTTTTTGATTAAAAGTTCTGAAGAATTTAAAAACTTGTACGCTCATTTTGTCCTTTTTATTTATTCTAATAAAATGAGGATTAGGTTGATTCTATTCAACTGAGGATTTGGAATTTTTCTTTCTTTAAGGCTTATTTATTGGACTGTTGATTGTCATAATTATTTGTCTGCTGTTATATTGAAGAATGCCCTTTTTGTCATCTTGCTTATCATCCCATATACTGTATCTATAAAATTATTTTTGATAAAATTACTGATCTACATCTACATCCATCAGAATCAATTCCATGACCTTAAATATAAGATTTAATTGGTATCTTTGTTGTCACAATAGAACAAGGGGACAAAATATTAATTCTTAATATTTGGCACATAGTAGTAGTAGCTTATAACTCGATTAATCTTGCAACCTTATCAATAAAATAAATTAAAAATAAAATTCAGTACGTAGTCTAATTCTGGAATAAGACAGATAGGAGGAAGTAGAGTAATAAAATACCTATGTGTTGGTATAAGGAGTCAGTAATCAGATAAATGGATCTCCCGTACAGAATACACCAATTTTCTCAATGTATCTGGTTCTTAGGACCACTACCTTAGTTATAAATTTAGCAGTTCTGCCTACAATATGTACATTTGAGCCCAGGAAGAATACAACAATATGTGGTTTAGAACTTTAGATCCTAGTGGGCTGTTCTCTTCCATAGGGATGATAAATATTTAAGCCTAATGGGAGCATATAATTGACAGTTGAACAAAATATGAGAAATATTTTCAGTGGCTGGTGTACTGCATATGCAGGTTCTCTCATAATATGGCAAATTGTGGAAGCACTTCCACCACATATAGTCAGCAACAACTAGCAGAGGAAAATCCACAGGGATTCCTTTACCTTTACCTAGGTCTCATTGGTACATGCTTTAGGGAATAAGTATGCAATTTTAAAAATGTTTGCTTTAGAATAGTCTTTCTGCATTTACTGCATTGTATCTCTTAGATGTATATTTAATGGTTAATAGTGAATGAAATAGGTGCAAATTATTGAAGCAGTGATGGCATGCTGGCAAGCTGATCTCCGATTGGTCCATATCATGGATATGCAAGAAAGCTGGTTCTTCATTAGTTCTTTGTCTCATTGGTCCATTTTGAAGAAATTCCAAAATACCAGTTTCTGATTAACCTATCTTTGAGCCAGACTACTGATTGGTTCCTTATTCAGCACCCTTACCAGAAAGAATACTTAGCAGCATCGTGGCTCAAAAACAGTCTAATCAGGAACCATAACTCTTGGAATTGTCCAAAATAATCCAATCAGAAGTCCACCTGTACAAGGACCAATGAGAAATCAGCTTGCATAAGAGCCCAGTCAACCTAGCTCAGTTGTCTTTAGCTGCTGAGAGATACACTACAAAGCAGCCTTCTCTGCTTCTGAAGATGTCAGTCACACCAGCTGGTGGAACAGCAAAACAAAAGAAAACAACAAAAGAAAACTAGACCATTGACATCCAGCCTAAAAGCTCATCACCGCATTGATGCCAGCCGTGAAAACCTATACCAGTACATGCAAATTATTACTTCATTATCTTCCTAAATTTAATTATTATTGTTTCTTTATACCTAGCTTTCTGGTAAATCCCCTTCTTATGGAGTTTCTCAAGAAGTTAAAGATACTCTGAAAGAGACTGACAAAAATATTCAAAGAAGAATTCATAATCCTGTTACCTCTCACTACACAGATTACGTTGTGACTGGAGCTATACTAGGAGAGCTCAACTGTTTAACTAAGCAAGAAATGGAATATAGAATTTTTTGTGAAACTGCTGTGCAGGTTGGAGAATTCTACTTTATAAAGTGATTTTACATTGTATTAGAATTAAAGTTTTTGGCTAATAAGAAATTATATGTAATTATATAAAATGTGTAAACGTTTTGTAATGGTAGTTCATATTTTAGGTTTTAAAACTGAATTCAAAATACTTAACGTTAAATCAAATCTTAACAAATTTTAAATAAAGCATATTGAATTATGCAATTGCTTTGTATTATATTTGTATTTTCTCCAGTGCCCTAAAGTCGAAAAGATAAAATTATATCAGTGTAGGACAGTATAGAAAGCAGCAAATTATTGTGTCCATTGCACAAAATTAATTCACTTAATAGTTGCCAGATAAGCTGCTCTTAAAAATACTAAAAAGGTATTACAGAATTTATGGCTGAGGAAATTACCTGAGGCGTTTGAAGTGGTAGTCATAACTAGATTAGAAAAGCAACTGATTGTTCTTTTTCAATGCTTCCTACATATATATGGTTGAAAGGGCAAACTGACTGTGACATCTGTCACCCTGTTGTTTGCCAATATTGATCTGACAGATGTGGTAGGCTACATTGGTGTCTGTCCCTTAGCATTTCATGTGTGTCCCTTCCAAAGTTGTTTGCTCAATGGAAGTCGACAACCACCCCAGACAAAAGGAGTATATAAATTTTTGGTCAAGGGTATATAGATTCTATGTATAATTATTTGGGGATTGCACTCTTTGCTAAGCACAAATTGTATTGCGATTTTAAGTTACAATGATCTAAAGGAGAAAAAATATTTCTAGGGAATTGTTTCTTCCATCTAGAACTGAGCCATTGCCATTGAGTGTTTCCCTCCCTAGACATATTTGCTTCTTGTAAAGAATGTAAGATGAAAGTTAATTCCTTTGTTTTATGGAGTAGTCTGGGAAGCCCATTGCAGGAGAAAGGAGACATATATATTACTGCATCTCCCTTCTTCTAAGCCATTTGTCCTTTTCCTAAGCCTATGGTTGAGTTGTCAAGCACCTTGATCTCCAGTTGCAGTTGCTAAAAGCCAGGTCTGCATCCCTTTATGATATTTTCTTGAAAGGTATGCAGATCTTCCATGTATCCCTGAGACCTGGATGGAAAGCAACAGAGATATAATCCTCTTGAGAAAATTCCAGCTGAGTTTCAGCTGCTATGTAGCAGTCGCACCATAAAAATTGAGGAGGGGCTCTATTATAGTTTGAGAAATTATTACCGTATTAAGGGCCAGTGCTCTGGACGTGAATGGATATGAGTTCCTTTGTATGGAAGAAGCTAAAGCTGCTGGTAGTATAACAACCACCAATTGCCCAGCAGTTTTTCATCCAGAATTTAATATAATGTTATTTTACATTTCTGAACAGTCTCTGATTAGATGGGTTGCAAATGGGTTTAATAAATAAATAAAATAACATTAAGCAAAAAAATTACTTCGGATTGCATCAAAGGATTTTTTGTACAACAAGGTTATGGTTTAAGATCTCCACTGCACTTTGTTAATAAAAGGAAAAACTAGATAAGCAAAGCAAACTTAACAATTAAAATCCCCCCCCCAAAGAATACAAACTACTGGGTTTCTAATTTCCTCTTTTTATACATTTTCTAATATGCAATATTTATAGATGTTTAGGCTCCCTTAGAAACTAGACTGTAAGTGATTATATTTGCGATACTGCATGATGTATTTTATGTATGGGGCACCTTCTTGCTTAAATTTGGTTAAACATCTGTTATGAATAGTTAGATTTGCCATTGCTGCATATTCTACAAATTTAAGTTCCCAATCAAATATTGTTAAAATTGTATCTTTCAGTTTTGACCAAAATTTATTCTCACAGCTCATTATCTCACTTATCCCATTAAATTATGATGGTTCTTGTTGACTTTTTCTGAGAGTATACATAGTTAGGAAAGTTAATTCCATTTCAAATTTTTGCATTGTTTATGTTATATTTTTATTAAAATTATATGCTGCCCACCTCACTCTACAAAGTGACTGCTTAAATCTTTTTTTACATGTCTACCACATGTGATAAAACATTCTTTATGTTTTATGACATTTCCAATATTTATTACTGTATGATTTGTTTATCTTCGGTATTATTAATGGAATTGTGTGCCAGCTGTAGAACATTTTGTACTAGTTTTCCTTTAAGTTAGAATTTGGTGTTCATTTTATAGATTTAATCCACAGTTTCTTCCCATTATTTTATTTAAATGTTTCTTTAAAATGTTTACATCCATTTTACCACTCATAATTTTGTTTGTTCTTATTGATAAACATTTATATATGCGTCCTAACAGATGATGATGGGTTTTGTAGGAGCATTTTAAATTCTGTCTTTGACATTTTTGCCCCCTTCTCTCCTGCCTACCATTCTCTAATTTTGTTGAGTGGAGGAAAAATTTGAAGCTGAATATATTTTGATTCCTGACACAAAAGTGAGAGACTAAAATCTTTGATTACTTGGAAGGACTATTTAGTTCAAACCACTTGGCTGTCCATCCATTTTGACTTCATGTCTGACAAAAGAAGACAGACTATTTGGGGAAGGGAAGAAACATTTGTCTAACTTTTGAAAAAGATAGAGACTAACCAACCTGAAGCTGAGAGAAGCAAATCCTTTTCCACGCTTCCCTTCCTCCATTTTTAACTTCAAAATAAAATGGAATATGACAAATTGTTTTACATTATTATTTGTTCTGCATAATTTTTGATCTCAAAAGTAATGCCACCCGAGTAAGCTTTTGTTAAGTGAGCAGTTATGACTAAATTCCCTGAAAAATTAATCAAGGATTTAATTAAAACTTATCAAGCAACTCTCATACTGGCAGAACTTTGCTTTTTGGCTCCTCTTCTCCCTCTCTGAAATCTATATCACGTAGACACCCAATGTTATGCTGCCTTCCTACCTGCATAGTGATCTTTATGTCCTCTGATTCTCTTCCATTATCCAGGAACTTGCATATCTTCAGCAGTCTAAAACTACATAAATCCAACTTTCCTTGCTAGCTATCTTCTCATTTTTTCCTCTTAGTCCAATGACAACTCTTCCCCTGCCAGCTCTTTATGCCACTTCAATTTCTTCCTTCTCTCTTGTGAGACTCAATGTGTCTGTGTGTGTTTGTTTGCATGCATGCACATTTGTGGAGAACCTCATGTTTATCTCAATTACAAGTACAGCTTGTATTGTATAATAGTTTTCATGATAGGATGGCACACAATGTTTGCTCCAATTTTCACACAGGGAGTATAGCAATAGCACCTAGACTTATATACCGCTTTATAGCCCTCTCTAAGAGGTTTACAGAGTCAGCATATTGCCCCCAACAATCTGAGTCCTCATTTTACCCACCTCGGAAGGATGGAAGGCTGAGTCAACCTTGAGCCTGGTGGGATTTTAACTGCCAAACTGTTGGCAGCTGGCTGCAGAAGTAGCTTGCAGTACTGTACTCTAACCACTGCGCCACAGAGGCTCTGAAAAGTATGAAAAGGGCAAGATATTGTAAGGTTCAGCCAAAGAAGAAATTGAAATTGAAGTCAATACAGTTGCCCAAATATAACGTACCATGATAGCTGTAATTGTCTCATGGGCTTACTTTCTTCTTTTCCACCCCTCCAGACATGTTTCATCTCTATTGATGATTTATTTGAAGCTTTTGATACGTTTTTGGAACCACCTTCCCTGGAATATAAAATATGGTTGAAAATTGCTCTTGATGTTGCTCTCAAAACCTTTAAAGAAAGTCTTCCAAATCTGGTAGGCATATCTGCAGCTTTCTTATGGTTCTAGTCTGAGTTTTGCTGATGCTCTTGCTTAAACTGTGCTGCAAATGAAATAGACTTATCAGGGAAGAAGCTGAAAAATTTTAATAATTTTCAGAAATGTAACTCGCAAACCTTCTTAATATTTATAGTGACATGTGAATATCTGGATTCACTGGTTCTTAACCTTCTTAATATTTATAGTGACATGTGAATATCTGGATTCACTGGTTCCTAGATACAGATTTTTATATCTCTGGATTGTCTGCTTTGAGAAGATGGGGGGAGAGGCCAATAAACTATAGTTTTGAATTTCACCTGAAATACAGGTGAAACTCAAAAAATTAGAATATCATGCAAAAGTTCATTTATTTCAGTAATTCAACTTAAAAGGTGAACCTAATATATGAGATAGACTCATTACATGCAAAGCAAGATAGTTCAAGCTGTGATTTGTCATAATTGAGATGATTATGGCTTACAGTTCATGAAAACCCCAAATCCACAATCCCAGAAAATTAGAATATTGTGAAAAGGTTCAATATTCTAGGCTCAAAGTGTCCCACTCTAACCAGCTAATTAAGCCATAACACCTGTAAAGGGTTCCTGAGCCTTTAAATGGTCTCTCAGTCTGGTTCAGTAAGAATCACAATCATGAGAAAGACTGCTGACCTGACAGTTGTGCAGAAAACCATCATTGACACCCTCCATAAGGAGGGAAAGCCTCAAAAGGTAATTGCAAAAGAAGGTGGATGTTCCCAAAGTGCTGTATCAAAGCACATTAATAGAAAGTTATGTGGAAGGGAAAAGTGTGGAAGAAAAAGGTGCACAAACAGCAGGAATGACCGCAGCCTGGAGAGAATTGTCAGGAAAAGGCCGTTCAAAAGTGTTGGGGACTTTCACAAGGAGTGGACTGAGGCTGGAATCAGTGCATCAAGAGCCACCACACACAGACGGATCCTGGACATTAGCTTCAAATGTCGTATTCCTCTTCTCAAGCCACTCCTGAACAACAAACAACATCAGAAACGTCTTACTTGGACGAAAGAAAAACAGAACTGGTCTGTTGCTCAGTGGTCCAAAGTCCTCTTTTCTGATGAGAGCAACTGTTGCATCTCATTTGGAAACCAAGGACCCAGAGTCTGGAGGAAGAATGGAGAGGCACACATTGCAAGATGCTTGAAGTCCAGTGTGAAGTTTCCACAGTCTGTGTTGATTTGGGGAGCCATGTCATCTGGTGTTGGTCTACTGTGCTTCATTAAGTCCAGGGTCATCTACCAGGAGATTTTGGAGCACTTCATGCTTCCTTCCACAGACGAGCTTTATGGGGATGCTGACTTCATTTTCCAGCAGGACTTGGCACCTGCCTACACTGCCAAAAGCACCAAACCCTGGTTCAATGACCGTGGGATTACTGTGCTTGATTGGCCAGCAAACTCGCCTGACTTGAACCCCATAAAGAATCTATGGGGCATTGCCAAGAGAAAGATGAGAGACATGATACCGAACAATGCAGAAGAGCTGAAGGCAGCTATTGAAGCATCCTGGTCTTCCATAACACCTCAGCAGTGCCACAGGCTGATAGCTTCCATGCCATGCCGCATTTAGGCAGTAATTGCTGCAAAAGGGGCCTAAACCAAGTACTGAGTACATATGCATGCTTATACTTTTCAGAGGTCCGATATTGTTCTATGTACAATCCTTGTTTTATTTTTTTTATAAAGAGTTTTTATTTTTTTAAATAAACAAACATACATATACAAAACATAAAAACATAAAACCATCTTCCATTTTATATACATACAGTGTGTGTCAGTTAGTTACAAATCTTTTGTGCTATCCTTTTATAGTCATTTACTCACAGTTTATATCAATTTTCACATTGTCAAACTAACATGCTTATATGTTTATCAGTTATTAATCATCCATGACTAAACTACTTATTCCATCATTTTATACGAGATATTCCAAATTTTATCTTAAAATTTATGTTATACTTTCAACCAATGGTTATATATGTCTGTATTATGTTTTATATCAATCTATTAAATTTCTATCACAGAATTATCTAATCTATTACATTACCATGTCTTTTTATCCAACCATTGATAAAACAAATCCCATATCATATAAAATTGTTTATCTTCTTGTTCTCTAATTTCAAATGTCAATTTACTCATTTCAGCACAATCCATAATTTTCTTTATAACTTCCTCCTGCATAGGTGTTTTATCGTTTTTCCAATTCTTAGCAAATACAATCCTAGCCGCTGTTAATACATTTACAATCAAATATTTCAACTCTTTGTTGTATATTTCCAGTATAATTCCCAATAAAAAGATCTCTGGTTTAAAGTCTATATGTTGTTTTATCATTTTTTCCAACCATGTGTGGATTTTAGTCCAATATTTCTTTGCATCCGAGCATGTCCACCACATATGGTAATATGAACCAGGTATCTGATGACATTTCCACATTTATCCAATTTATTCTTAAACATTCTTGCAAGTCTCGTTGGGGGTAGATGCCACTTGTAAAACATCTTATACAAATTTTCTTTATATGCAGTTGACATTGTCATTTTATAATTTTGAGACCACAATTTTTGCCATTTTTCTAAATCAATCCCATATCCAAAATTTCCCCCAAGCAATCATCGTTTCTTTAACTTGTTCCTCCTCCAATTTAAATTCTAACAAGTATCCATAAAGTTTTTTAATTACCTTTTCATCAGTACCCATCAAAATTTTATGTAAATCAGTCAACTTATCATAAATACCTTCTGTTTTTCAGAGGTCTGATATTGATTGTTCTATGTACAATCCTTGTTTTATTGATTGCATGTAATATTCTAATTTTCTGAGATTGTGGATTTGGGGTTTTTATGAGCTGCAAGCTATAATCAATCTCATATATTAGGTTCACATTTTAAGGTGCATTACTGAAATAAATGAACTTTTGCACGATATTCTAATTTTTCGAGTTTCATCCGTACTTCTGGATATCTACTGTTTTAATATAAACTAAGTGTTACAGAAAAGCTGTGGTTTGCCAGTGGTAATTTGTTCAAAGAAAAAAAAAATGTTGTTGAGTGATGCTGTGGGATATCTCACTACTTTGAGTTTTAGGATGCATTGTATTGAAATAATCCCTATTAAAGCAATCTTTCTTGTTCTAATGGAAGATTAGAAAGCAGGAAAAACATACTCCTAGATTGATAAAAATGAGATACAAGCAGCATTTTCCTTTTAGGAAAAAAAGCGGGGAAGAACATTTTCTTATTGTTATAATCATGATGCCAAATGTAAGAAAAGGAACTTGGAAGATTAAAACAAATGTCTGAATTATATATGTTTATGAAATTGACATATTTATAAAATACTGAAGAACTATAAAGAATAGCTTATTGTTTAAATGAAGTATGAATTTAAATGGAGTCATAACATTTAGGTTTATATATGGGAATGACAGTCTCCTCATGTGTTAATCCTACTGAACAAATATATGTCTTTGAGTACAGAATGGAATTGATAATAATTTTTAATTATGGTTTCAGCTTGAGAGAAATGAGAATTATTCCTGTAGAGAAAGAGCAATAGAAATGCCATATTTATCCTCTGTATAACTTAAGAATCCCTGATGGGAATTTATGTAAGGAATTGTATAAGAATGTTACCTGTCAGGAAATAAACAAACAAGGCTATAAAAATCTTATTTCCAGTAAAGAATTTAGTTGGCAGGTCAACAGAACTAGGTTTACAGGTCAAAGGAAGATCGCTGGCAGGTCAAGAAACCAGTTGTTATCCTAAAATTAATAATAGGATATAGCAACTATCAAGGGGATTGAGTTGCTGGATAGATTGTGAACCCAGAAAGGGGCAGTGACTGTTTTTGAAACTGTATATAAACCCCAAGTATTCCTATGTAAGATGTCTTCTGTGGCTCTGCTTATATGAGCACAGAATTCCAGCTTTTGCAAAAGCTAAATAATAAAGCTCTTTATTGTTCAAGAGTCTCCTGTTGAGTTCAAACTGAGAGGGTTAAATATCACACTGCTAATACATACTAAATATGTATGCCAAATGTAACATATGTGTTACATTTATTTATTAACCTTATTGTGCAAAATTTTTAGCTTCCTCCGAATCAAACAAGGAGTTTGTGATCGACGGAATGTCCTTTCTATTTTCATTACCCCTCCAGGGTGACTTAGTTCCTTCAGAACCTCCTAGCAGGTTGAATTGGGTGCGAACCCGTGGATCTCCATGGAGATGTGTCATGTTGCCGCAATGTGAGCCCCGCCTTCCCAAATTTTTAGATATTTTTGTTAAATATCTAAAGTTTGAGTACTAGAAGATCTAAGGGCTCTTAACTGGAAAATTCTGCTTATAGTTAAAGTATGATTTAGGGTACAAATCTGGGAAATAATTTAAGTAAATGTATTTGAGATAGCCAGCCTATAAATTAGAACCTAAATACATAACAATATTTACTGATGTTTTGATAGTTCATCCAAAGTATACAATAATGAACAGATCAAAGCAACACTTTAAAACCTTTCAAAATACTTTTGAGTACAATAAACATTTTGGACATGGATATGTGGTTATCAAGAGTTAAGCTTGATTCAAGAGAAATTTTACTTTGTCCTGCATAAAAATCTTGAATTATAGCCAAGTTAGAATTGTTATAAATGTTCATCTAATTTATGTCTTTGGTGTACAGGATTGGTCATACAGAATATGTATGCAGTTTTCTAATACATATGTCGTGGATGTACCAAATCACACTAAATGTGATATTTATGATGAAGCTATGGATGAGGTAATTCTTGTACATGGAACTGTGCAGGATTGTCAATCTGGGGAGCCTTATTTGGCACCATACATTTTACCTAAAATCTGCCATCAGGTAAGAAATACTTTTATAGCTAGCCAATAATTATATAATTTATAACAATCAGTAAGCCGAGTAGGAGAGCAAACATCTGGAAAGCATGAGAAAATAAAGAATAGATGGAATATTTTTGATATTTTGTTTATATTTCAGCACCTGGCAGTGAATTAAAAGAACAGTGTTATCAATATGATGATAGTTTGCTGGTTAGGATTAAATATTTATTTACAAGACGCACAGGCATCCAAAGAATCAAATCAGCCTAATAATCATTATCAGTAGAGCTCACTACACTGATTCTATAGGAATGAATTCTTGTGATTTCCACAATAACTTACTAAGATACTCTTCCAGATACAAGGTACTTCAGCCGCAACAAAATTATTAATTATACGAACTGAAGAAAAAGGAGAGCGGAAGAGCACAGCACCTAATGGTATATGCCAGTATCACGCAAGGAAGAGATTTGGTGAGGAGGAACTTGAAACGCTTAGTATCAGAGAATTTAATTAAAATTATAGTCCTTTTCTTTCTACCTTTCTCAGAATTATAAACCTCTCAGGAGAGCTGTGTCCTTTCGTACTGTGAGAGGAAAGATTTTTAAAAAGGCAATCATTAGCAAAGTGCATGGACTCAATTACCGCAGTGATGGGTGCACCACTGGAAGATCTAAAAGGGTCAGGTTAGGGACATAAAAAAATCTTGCCTACATGGGCACTAAGAGCTGACACACTTGTTGGCATATAATAAATCAATTATATATTTATAATTCAAGTACAGCTTGTATATATCTGTGTTATGATTTATTAAAAGTCAAAGTCTCTAGGTTGCTTTTATTATTGAAGAACTGAAAAGTCTAATCATCTCACATAATTTAAAAAGTGATTCTGGATTTTTGATTTTTTTTTCCCCTGAGAAAGCAAGGGATTACATTTATCACTATTTGTCTCCTGAGAACAAAATTATAAGTTTATTCATAGAAAAAGTATGGCAACAAACATAGTATGTGCTTAGATTATAAATATTAATGCCTGTGTTAAAGTTATTGTGTTTATTAGACTTTATTCCCTGGCAAATGTGCATTTAATTATAGCCTTAACTAAGATTCTTAGGGAAAAAGTTACTATTTTAATAAAGAAAATGCTTTAAATATTAATTAGTAAAAGTAATTATTTGAAAAATAGGTGAAAAATACCTAAAATAGGTGAAATAATTTCACCTGCAATTCAAAGAAATGATCAAACTAATTACAAATATATCAAAAACTAGTTATTTATGCTTAAAGTTAGCTTATTTTTATAGTAGTTATTTAAATTGTACTGTTTGGCTTCCAAACATGAAAGAATCTGTGACATAGGTTGGCTTTTTTTCTTTTTTTGGTGGTACCTTTGAGCGAATCTTGATTCCTGGCAATTTCCTGAACAAGTCCATGAAACCTTCTTGGCAAGATTTTTGGAAGTGGTTTGTCCTTGCCTTCTTCCTAGTGCTGAGAAAGATTGACTGGTCCAAGATCACCCAATTAACTTCATGTCTAAAATGGGAGTAGAACTCACACTGTCAGTTTCTAGCCTAGTGTCTTAATCACTATACCGAATTGGCTATCTGAGACAAATTTAACTAATGCAATATTATGCTATCCAAAAACAAAACAATCAGTACAACAATATGTATTTTGTAGCTTATAAACACAAAAGTAAGAGTTAAAAGGACAACATATATAAATCTGTTTAGCTTTTTTAAATTATTATGGAAATATTCAGAGATAACTGAAGAGAATGAATATTGAGAAATTTTGTGTTTCAATATTTTGTAATTCTGCTTACCTATTGGAAGTTTTTAAAATCAATTCAGTTGGCTTTCAAATGTTTTTGTCTTCCATATATAGGAACTTTGGAACACATTTTTGCTTCAGAATATAGCAGCCAAGGCACATTAATAGACAATATAGTAAGTATACTTATTGCATTTATACAGAAATATGTATATATAAGGATTCCTAGATCATCATGTCAGTCTGCTTTGGGTGATAGGTGAAGACTAAAGAGTCTATTTATACTGGATTCAAAATTAAAAGTAAACTTGCTTGTTTTATCTTCCCAGCATGATTTGGGAGAGCTGCTAATCCAACCATAAAAGCCTGTCTTGGGACTACCTATTCTCTAAAAAAATAACATTTCATCACAATTCCTTCCATTGCTTTCTTCTACCTTCTTTTTAATTATCCTACCTGAAGAAAAGTTCTTGGAAACTTTATAGTTCAAACATAAATAACTATTTTTTAGAATTAAATTTTCAGGTGATCTAAAGAAATTAATTCTGTAGGGGTTAAAATTAAATGTTCTTAACCCTTCAGAGCTATGTAGCCAATAAATTACACATCAATTGCAAACATGATAAATAACTTCTTTGTCACTAGACTATCCTTTAGGGAAGGTAAATGAAAACTAGATTCCCAGATGCAACTTCTTTTTTTATAGCTCTAGTTCAAATAAATACTGTAGGAACAAACAATTGAATAAACTTTTATTGCCACATATAGTTCAGTCTATTTCAGATACAGTTTCAGGTTCAGTGCAGAAAACACTCCAAAAATACCTTGTTTTATAAATATGTTAACTGCACATGACAAAGAGTGCAGCTCTTTAAGCCAGAATGAGGCCTTCAGTACTAGACAAATTCTTCCTCTTGCTTACTTGTACACTTTTGATCTATTCTTTATAAAGAATATTTTTGTCTGGCCTTTCTACTGTGGAATTTTCTGTCTCTAATTCCATCTCCATAATCATCCAGTCATTCACTTCTATTTAGCTTGCCACCCATCTTGCAAGAGGGACTCTGGGAGGTAAGTTCAGATAACACAATTTAAAACTTCATTACAAACTATTTATATTAACTAAAACAAACAAACAAAAACAAAAGCATAAAAAGGCAACCAACAATAGCCAATCAACCGATACATCTTGGACTGGTGATTCCCGTCCAGGAAAATAGCGGGGCTTAAGAGCTTTCCGAAAGCGTGGCAGGGTCAGGGCCAACCTAATCTCAGACACTAGGGCTCTCCAAAGGGCATGTGCTGCCACAGACAAGGCAGAAATAATACCTGTTAACAGGCGCCTTCTCTGTACTCTGCAATTACCACCTTTGATTAATACTTTTCATTTTCACACATTTTGTACATTCTTCCAATAAATTACATTTCCTCTCATCCTAAACTCAGCTGACTTATCCTGTTGATAACTGTTAACATTCTTTTACCTCTGAAGAAAAAACAGGACTTGCTAATGTAGTTTTATAGTATTTATTTTCTCATCTACTATAATGTAAGCTAGTAACTCTTTATTTTCTGTTTTATCCTTATGCTTCTTAGGAAAGCAATTTATAGATTTATTTAAGTCTTATGGCTTTTATTTTACCACTTAAATGGTTAATGTCAGTAAATATAATTATATATTTAATGAATTACATTTTATGGCACAAAAATGCAATCAAGATTTTTTTTTCTTATAGCAGCAAAGCACTTCTAGACATTCCCCATCCTCAAGCTTAGAAAAGTCTTAATGAACAGCAAATATGTTCCAGCCTCACAGACCAAGAATGCAAGATCTTACATAGAAACTAAATACTGCTGTCAAATCCTTGGTGAAATTGGTTTTTTATTTGCTGTCTATGAAAATTTTCTACATTTCAATCTTTTACAAAATGTTATATAGATGAAGCAGCTAATAAAATAACACCAAAAGGACCACTGAAATTGTTTTAGGACTTTTGAAATATTTGATGTTATTTCAGTTGTTACAATTTCTGTAATAAATTTTTTGAACTGATTTTATGGTTCTGTGATTTTCAAAATATTTTTATCAATATGGAATAATTTCTTTACTAGCACTGATGTTACCTAGTAATGAAAAGTCTGCAAGACAATGAAATCTCTGCAAGAAAACAACCAAGCTCAAAGAACATCAAGGATCCCTCATTTCAACCCCAAGCTACAAATATTCTCATTTATTGGTAAAATAATTTCCATTTATATTATTGCCTACTGAAATTTATTCTGGCTATTTTACACAGAAAAAAAAGTTTGCAGCAAATAACCTTTTAACATTTAATATAGCATAAGGTTAATGCTGTAAAGTTCTGTTTTCCATAGGAACATGAATCAAGGCAACGTGGTTGTGGTTAAATAAGAGATGACAAGACTGAACATCGACATCTTAGGAATCAGCGAACTAAAATGGAAAGGAATAATGGGTGAATTTAATTCAGATGACCATCAGGTATACTACTGCGGGTAAGAATCCCTCAGAAGAAATGGAGTAGCCTTTATTGTTATGTCTCACCTGTATCCACAGGTGAGAATCCAAAGTTCCAGAGTTCAAATATTCAAGCAAAACAAAACCAGACCGAAAAGAGTTAACTGCTGTTTTCACAGTCCTTGGCAGTCTTCCTGGAATCTGTCTGGCAAGTCTGAATTGTCCATAAATCGACGGCTGCTTCAAGCACTTTGCTTCAAGTGGGGGAGAGGCGTTAACACGCTCCTTATATATCCCCTGAAGGGGCATGTCAGTCTCTTTAATTAATCCTTGGCTGGACGTCTCTTTTCTAATTGAGATTGACGTCTCAATCTTCTCCTAGTCCTAGCATCAAGCCAGCATCTGGCAGTTTCATCATCGCTTGAAGCCTCTGGCACACTTTCCTGATTAACAGTTAACACCTGAGGTGCAATCAGGGAGGGAGTTCCAGAAGAGGAAGACGCCTCTGAAACTTCTAATAAATCAGGCTCATCTCTCAGATTCAACTCCTCCTCCTCCCCCAGACTCCTCTCAATGTCGCTCAGTAATGCAGGCTCGAATCTCAATGCCAGATCTTCTTCATCACTCGAGCCTACATCTGCTGACTGACCTGGTTCAAACATCGGAGGCACAACACTTTATAGTCAATAAAAGAGTAGGAAAAGCAATACTGAGATACAGTCCCCAAAATGACAGAATGATGTCAGTTTGAAACCAAGGCAAACCATTCAATATCACAGTAGTCCAAGTCTATGCCCCAACCACTGGTGCTGAAGAGGATGAAATTGACCAGTTCTATGAAGCCCTACAGCACCTTGTAGAATTAACACCAAAAAAATGATGTCCTTATCATCATGGGGAATTGGAATGCTAAAGTAGGAAGCCAAAAGATAACCGGAATAACAGGCAAGTTTGGCCTTGGAGTACAAAATGAAGCAGGGCACAGGCTGACAGAATTTTGTCAAGAGAATATGGTCATAGCAAACACTCTTTTCCAACAACCCAAGAGACGGCTCTACACATGGACATCACACCAGACGCTCAACACAGAAATCAGATTGACTATGTGCTTTGCAGACAAAGATGGAGAAGCTCTATGCAATCAGTAAAAACAAGACCAGAAGCTGACTGTGGTTCAGATCATGAGCTTCTCATTTCAAAATTTAGGCTTAAATTGAAGAAATTAGGGAATAACACTAGGACACTCATGTATGAACTAAATCA